TCCCAGCCCTTGCTCCCGCTTGAGGTCCACCACGATGGCGCGTGTGGGGTTGGCCTTCCACTGCTCATATCGCGTCGTGGCTTTGGCAGTCAAGCCCTTGTTGCCACGACTCGCGATCTCCTCCTGCCACTTTTGGTGCTCTTTCACCCGCGCCTGCATGGAAAGTTCCAGTGCAGGGTTGAGCCACTGAGGCAGGGGAGCGCAGCGCTCGTCGGAATCATGATGCCACCACACATGTTTTTTGCCGTGGAGGGCCGTGGCCAACTGCTGCGCGTCCAGCTCGCGAGCAGCTTCCTCGAGGTTAAGGTGCGGGAGCACGTCCAGGTTAATCAGTGTCGCCATGGACCCCCGAGCTTGCTCCATGGCCGCTTCTGCTGCAACCTCATCGCCGGCAAAATTCAGTCGGGCCAGCTCCGACAAGTCAATGTAGCCTAGGCGATGCCACGCGCTCATGATGATGTTGCCGTGGCGGTGGTTGCGCAGTGCCTGGAGGGCATAGACGTCCGCCTGCAGCGAGGTCATCCACGGACACGTCGTGCAAATCTCCCCCCGCAGGTCGAACTGTGCCTCCTCCAGTGTGCGTCCGTAAGCAGGGTTGCCCGATCCCACTGCTTTACGGAGCCACGCGCGCCTGAGCAAGCGCCAGGTCTGGTGCCACTGGTCATTTGGGGCTCCTGCTGCACCAAAGCCTCCGGGAATTTGCACGGGGTGCTGCTTGTCGCAACCCAAGAGCATGCAGTTGTTCTCCTGCTCCCAGAGTTTCCGCAGCTCGCGGAAGCGTTGGTCGCTGTGAACACTGGCGTCGTCGGCCACGATGAGGGCACCATCCTCCCAGCGCAAGTTGTATTGCTTCCTGCGGTTGGCGAGCTCAGTCTTCAGGAAGGCCAAGTAGCGCACTGTGGTCTCGCCTCGCCACATATGGGTGCTGGATTGCGAGCGCTCAACATGCGCATAACCTCGCAAGGACTGCGCTTCCTCCAGCTGCGCGTCCGAGATCTTGGCGTCGGCGACGGTGATGAATAGTCGCCCCAGGTCGCCATTGCGCCACGACAGTGTCGTCGTAGTACGAGGAATGCGCCAGTTGGCGATGCATCCGATTTGCGAGTACCCGTCCTCCTCCTTGTGCCGGTCACCTAGAGGACCAGCGAGTGCTGCGGATTCGAGACCCAGGTCAACGCGCAACTGCTTGGCCAGTTGCGCTCGCTGGTAGAACCTTCCCGGTTTCCGGTCGGCGCACCGCAGTTGACCTTGCCGCTTGGGGTCCTTCCAAATGGCACGTGCTGCTGGCTCATACATGCACGTCCACACTTGGTCAAAATTGCCGACCAAAAGCGGGTGCGCGTGCCCGTCCCTCAAAACCGAGAAGATGTACTCCTTCACAGCCATAACCTGCGGGGCGTCTGCACGCAAATGCTTCCCGGGTTTGGCGATCTTGTGCACGGAGAAGTCGAATTTGCGCAAGAACTTGCCCGCGTGTTTGTACAAACTGGCTGGCGTTTTGGAGAGGGACAATGTACACAGCGCATGCTCGGTGCGGGATGCCGCATCCTGCGAAGCCGCGTTTGCAGCCTGCAACTTGCCGACCTCCTCGTTCCAAACCTCGATGCATGTGCCCAGGAGGTTGGCCACGGCCGGAACGGTGATCTCTGCTCCCAGTTGCAGCTGCTGGAGGAGCACGTCCTCGGCAATGCGCAAGACTCGCTCCGGGAGCTTGCCTGGCGAGCGGCCGGACCCCTTGTCACCGCATTGCACGGATGCGAGTACCCAGCGTGGCAGCTGCCGTGCCTTCTTGGCTGCACCAGGCATGTTGCTGCACACACGGGCCCACTTTTGCTTCGTGCTGAGCTTGCCCCACTTCGCAAAGCAGCCGGAGAATATGCCAGGGAAGCGTCCCTTCTCGGCAAGCATGGACTTCTCCGGGTGCTTCACGCCGTCCCGCTTGCGTTTGTCGTACTCTTCCAAGTACCGCTGCTTCGTGGCAACATCCAAGGTTTTGCCCTTGTTGTTTTGTCCGCGCCGGGATTTCTTTGTGCGAAACAACCCACGACGCACCGGGTCGTCGCCATCGTCATCCCCATGACCAGCAGCGTACTCTAGGAATTTCCTTTTGCGACGGGAGCTCCTGGACTTCGTAGCGGTGCTGCTCGAAGGTGGGGTTTCTGTGACAGGGGCATGCCCATGTGAGGAACTGCTGATGGTTTCGGGTTCAACTTCACCCGGAGCACGTGCAGGCGTGTGCAAGCGGCACGGGCTTTCCTCCTGGTGCTGCTGCTGCTGCTGCCCCCTTTGCACGTGCCTGTCCCGGATGAGCTCCCAGCTGGAGGAGTGGATGAGCAAGGCGAGCACATTCGCTTGGAGGACTGTCGTGCTGAAGCCTTTGCCCGCGAAGCTCATGGCTGCAGTGCGTCGCTGCGCCAAGCGCTCTACGGCAGAAGGCTCAGCGAAGTCCTGTGCAAAAATGCCTTGGCACATCAGGTGCTCCATGCCTGAGAGGTACCGGCCCAAGGACTCACTCCAAACCTGGCTTGTCGGCCGCAGGCATGTTGTGGCACCCACATTGTGTTCGGTGCCACGTCCGCTCGACGTGTTTGGAGCCAGGAAGAGGTCCTTGTAGTCGGAACGTTCTGCCCGAAACTGATCCAGCAAGGCTTCCACCTGCTTCTGGCCTTTGCTTGACAACACTCCTTTCGGCAAACCTTGTTGAAAAATGTTGCCGACGTGGACAGCGCTGCTCATGTCCACGAACGTGGCCTCCACGGCACCAATTTCGGAAAGCGGGCCTTTGGATGCCATGAGCCACGCTCGATTGCGGCGTTGAGGCAACGCGAAGTCTTGAGTGTTCAAGCTCCGGTACTGGACGTGGTAGCCGAGCCGAGTCAGGTCTGCCTCCACCGTCTTGATGGCTGGCTCGTGCACCTCGCCAGCATCATCCTTGCAGTGGTGGAGGACTCTGGGCACGTTCTCGTACAGAACTATGGCAGCCTCCATTTGCTCCGCTGCTTTGAGCACACCCTGCTTGTAGGTGACACTGGACTCGCACGCAGCATACTCCTCGTGCCCCTCCTCCAGGCACCCGACAAAGCGTGCGCCGTCGATCCTCATGCCGGATACGTTCACGCAGCTTGGGCCGGCGATCAGCACGTCGGTTTTTGGGCATGGCCGCCGGGTGTTGGACTTCACACAGGTGAGAGGTCCGTTGTCGAACTCTTGGCAGTCCGACACAAGCATGCCCAGTTTCGACGCATGCGCTTCCAGGATGAACTGCTGCCGCGTGGGGTCGTTGTCACACGACAACACATGCTCCACCTGGACATTCACCCCAAAGCGGGCATTCAAGGCGTTCAAGGTGTGTTCCCAGACTGGTATGCTGCTCTCGCATCCAGAGCATGTGCCTGCCACCCTGATTGTGACCCCGTCCAGAATGTGAAGATTGGCCTGCAGCTTCACCAAGTCTGCAGCGCACAATCGGTCCAGGAAGTGTGCGCATGTGCTTCGCAAACTTGCAGTGGGGGCGGCTCCACGCAATTGCGTCGCCTGCAGTGGCTGACGTGGCCTGGCATCCATCATGGCATGCACATCGGCTTCCATGAGCCGCAAATTTCGGGCTCCCGGCAGTCCCGGAAGGGCCGCTATGGGCTGAGGCCACGCCTGTGGGTCCTCCAGCTCCAGCAGCCACAGCACACCGTGCTGTTGCGGTACTGGCACGCACTGAACGCCCTTGGACCTGATGTCGCGTAACGCCTCCTCAGGGCTTGCATACTCCAGGCATTTGCGGACCTTCACCGTGCCTTCGATGCGCGCCCACTTGACATTGTAGACGTGCAACACAACAGTCTCCGCCACGGCTGCCTTGCTTGGAATCCATTTGGTTTTGCCTGAAAGGACCAAGTCCGTCAACCCCAGGGACAGCGCCACCACAGGCTTCAGCCCTGCACGCACAGGTTCCGCTGTTTTTGCCCGTGCCACGTCCGAAAGAATGCTGGCCGGAACGGAACTCCATGAAACGGGTCCTCGTTCCTTCGCATAGCTCAACGGTACGTCAAGCGGCCAAGGATTCGCCATCACGTAGGCATGCACCAAGGGCCCCTTCCACTTCAACTTCCGTAGAGTTTCCGCAGTCGCACCATGCTTCTGCAAATTGTGAGGCGCCAACCAAAAGTCCTCGGCGTTGTCGGGCTTTCCGTTGTAGGTGTTGCCCTTTCTGACGCCCACGACTTTGACGTCCAGTATGTCGATGAAGCCGAAGATTTGGAAATTGTAGCCCAGGGCGACTCGGCCTCTCACGTGACTGTTTTGGCTCCGCAGTTCCCAAACCTTCTGCCCTGCCAACAACTTGTCGCACCATGACTTTTGTATTTTGAGCAAAAGAATGCGATCCTGGGGGATGGCCGCCTGATCCAACGGGGCATCATCCTGCACAATTTGCTCCTCCGCTGCCCCTGCCCGCTCCTCACCTGATTCCGCTTCGGAGCTTGGCTCCGCGGGTGGGTCGGGCGTCATGCCCTGGCAAACCATCTGATCACCCATGTCACCCATGTCCATGCCGTGGTCACCTACATTCCCCATTTGCACATTCTCCCCATCGCTCTCCGAATCCAAGATATCCAAAATCTCAGTCGGACCTTTGGGTCGATGAGGTTCTCCGGCTCGTGGCTCCATTTTCGCAGTTTCCGTTTTTGTTTCCGTTTTCACGGCGTTCCTTTGGTTCGGCATGGCTTCCGTGTCCGAGTCAATGAGCATGGGTTCCGAAGGAAATACAGGGGCTGCGCTTGTAGCGACTTCGTTCTTGATGACACGCTGTCGCTTCACGCACCGCACCAAGGTGCTGGGCTCCCGTTTGACGCCCAGTGTTTCCTGCAGCAGTATGTCCACCTCCGTCCTGGGCGCCGCCGGGCAGGTACGTGGCAAGTAGAAGACATGCGTGGAGGCTGCAATAGGAGGCAAAATAACATCGAAATGACCATTGGCGCGGCCTGCCCCATCCTGTCCGTAGCGAAAAGCTACACATGCAGTTCTTGGGGCCCCGTGAGCAGGCCGTAAAGGGCGTCGTGCTGTGTAGCGGGTAAAAGGTTCCGGGCGTTCGCATTGACAGTACAGCGCACACAGATGCCGGTCAACAGGCCCATGAAGTTCAGGTCATCCAATCGGACCTGGTCCCCGGCTTGCAATTCCTCAATTCTGGCCTCCACCACACTTTTGGCCTCCCGTGTTTCCGCACAGGCAGGCTTGAGGTCGCCAAGCGCGCTGCGCAGTCCACGCAAGAAGCCATCCCGCAACTGCACAACCTCCTCCACCTCCTGTTTTTGTTGACACTTGTCCTGCGCGAGGCCGTTGTCCAATCGCGATCTCGTGTGACTTTCTGGACGCATGGCTAGATAGCAGCACGACCAGAAGCAACGGCCGTCCGGGTACACCGGCACCAATCGCAGCGCAGCACGTGCGGCTGGTTCTGGCGCGGGTTGGGACGGTGCTGCTGGCGCTGGTGCTGACGGCGGTGGCGCCGCAGGGTCCTCCGGAGCAGCTGAAACTTGTCCAGCTGCCTCAAACAAGGCGTCCAAGGTCAAGTTCCTGAGTGTGCGCGCATGGCCATCGAGATCCAGCACGTGAAACGTTTCGCCCTCTCGTTTCCTACTCAGGAAATGCACCCGGACCTGGGGCGTTTGGTCGTCCAGCAAGTTCCACGCTTTCATGCTACCCTTCGTGTCCTCGCGGAAGGTCGTTTTCACCAAAACATAGCAGCGGCTGCCTTGGGCTTGGCAGGCTCGTGACACCTGCACGTCCTGGTCCTCCAATGTTCCCACGTTGTCCGGGCAGGCAATGATGTAGCCTAGCACCATTTGCTCACCGCCTTTCTGCATATGGTCCTGCAAAAACAGCGTGAGATTTGCGGGGTCGGCTGACACCACCATGTTGAGAACGCGGAATGTGTTCTGGTGCGGCGCCCCAAGCAAAAGTCCATGTGTTTGTTGCTTCGCCCCTTTGTTTTTCACAGCCTGGAAGCAGCCCGGGTGCAGATACACGGGGATGTAGGGGTGCTTGCTTTTGCGCGCCGGCGCAGCAGCGAAAAGCGTATGATGCACCTCCGCACCTTTGGCGTCCTGAGGGCACGCAACCCGCGGGACACTGTTGGAGCTGCTGCTAGTGCTGCTGCTGGCGGCTGCTTGTGACATGCTGGCCTCGCATTCTGGAGATTTGCCGCTGCAGACTTGCGCAATGAGCTTGTCGTGCATGTCCTGGATGGTCCCGGAGCACGTGAGGCCATGTTTCTTCAAGTACGTGGCACGTGCTGCTGCATTGGGACACACGCGAAAGTCCAGGACGATTGTGTCCAGGAGACGTGCGAAGCGGCGCGCTTGGCACTCAGCACCCTGAGCACCAGCACAGTCCTTCAATGTGAAGTTGCGGTAGGCCGTGGAACCGTTCACTTTCACCTTCCAGTGCGCCTTGTATGCCTGGAGTTTGCTCAACTTGGGCGCATCAGGACTGGGAGCTTTCTCCTCCGGGCTGGGCTCCGGCCGTTTCGTGACAGGCTCTTGTGGGGCAGCGGCACGGACAGGAACTCGTGCAGCGGCCACTGCGTGCTGCCTAGCTGACTGCTGCATGAGCTCTTGCCTCAATTTCGCCAGGTACAGCTCGCGGGCGGCTGCTTCACCAACGTGATCCCAGGCTTCGTTGACCGCGACCGTGGCCTGTTTGGCTAAGTCTTGGCTTGTTGAATCGCTGCCATGCTTGTCCGGGTGCACGTTCAGAAGCGTTTTGTTCCTGGACGCATTGAGCTCCTTCTGGCCAAGCGTGCGAAGCTGTACAGGCGGCGCTGCCGCTGCTCCACCGTTGTACACTCTTGCGACTGTGGCTCGATGCCAAGCACATCGAAGAAATCGGTTGCATGAAGCACCCGTTGAACCGCCGAGCAGTGAGTTTCCGCCATGGCTCTCCCCGGCACACAGCTATGTATGTACAAACAAGGTCCCACTGTCAGCTCGGCTGCACGCACATGTGCATGACACGTCTTCCAGCATGGCCGCATGGCTTAGTTGCATTCGTTCTGCAAATTCAAATTGTTGAACAAATGTTCATTTTTGAAGAAAATGAAAGTTGGAGTTTTTGGAACTCAAAAGTGATTTTTTCCAATGGGCACTTTGCAAGTGCACTGTGCGATGTGCATGCACTTTTTGCAATGTGCACTTTGCAACTTTGCAATGTGACTTCACATTGCACTTTGCACTTTGCAATGTGAACTTGCAAAATGTTCACTTTTTTTGCAATGTGCACTTTTTCAATGTGAACTTTGCAATGTGCAACGTGCAGTGTGCATTTGCGTGCATGTGCACTTTGTCTTTTGCAATGCACAGTTCACAGTTCTTTCAACCCTGAAAGTTGGAAGAACCCTGAAGTTGGAAAAGACAAGTTGGAAGATTCAAAAGTTGGAAGGTGTTTGGGTCCACTTTTGAAAGAGCGTGAAATTTGGATGGACACCTTCCAACTTTTCGGCTGCCACCATAAACCCTAAACCCTAAACCCTAAACCTCAAACATCATCCGGCACAACGCAAGCTCCGATTGTTGAAGCAGACCTTCTTTCCCTTTGACTGCTGCATTCGGTTCAGACTTAGAGCTTCCGGCGCTTGCTTTTTAGGGTTTAGGGTTTAGGGTTTAGGGGCGATTTTCTAGGTTGTTGTTAAAATGGCAGTGCTTGAGGAGATCTTCTGCGGTGAAGTGCCAAGTAGGCGTAGAGTCACAGAGACCAGGCCTACATCACGCCTCATGCAGCCCCCCAAAAAACAAAACTCGATAGTGCTGGAGCCCTACACCTGCATTCGCATGACTACATAAAGCTCGAGTTCCAACGAGTCCTGAACCGACTCTCCTCCACCGCACTGTGAAACCCCGTCAACCCCCGTCGTGACAAAGCCCGCGCGTCACATAGCAAACCTGAACCCTAAACCCTAAACCCTAAATCCGGGTGCGCAGCGCTTTGGGCTTAGGGGTTTATAGGGCGGGCCTTTGGTTGAGGTGCAAACCCGACGAAAACGAAATCACTTGTGCTTCGACTCAGGGTTTGGGGGGGGTTTACGCGGGGGCGGTTGAGGCTACGGGGCGGTTTAGGGTTCGGAGTTTCGTTCTCATGCGGCTTCCAAAAATTTCGAAAGAGGCGCATCAGGGTGGCATTGGCGGCGCTGGCGGCTTGAGCGGCCTTTTTCGCCTTCGCGAAGATGTGTTTCAGGAGGTGAATTTGGTGGCTGAGGGGCTGGACGACTTGGTAGCCCACGAGCCATGCTAGAATACGGGCACCCTTTTTCGGCTGGTTACCCTAAACCCTAAACCCTAAACCCTATACCCTAAACCCTAAACCCTAAACCCGTAACGTAAAGGTCACCAGAGGGCTACCAAGACGATGCTGCCTGAATCTCTGTGAGCAGGCTTGCAGCAGGTCTTAGCGGAGGGTGGGGGCTCTGAGCTCTGAGGTGGAGCCACGGTTTAGGGTTTAGGGCTTAGGGCTTAGGGTTTAGGGTTCAGGGTTTAGGGTTTAAAGTTTAGGGGTTCTTCAAGGGCACGTGGCCTGAGAAGCCTGCAGCAAGACGACGTCTTCATCTGAGCAGCTTGCGCTTGCCCTCTGATCTGGAAGCTGAACCAAGCAAATCTCCCTGCAAACGGCAACACCCTAAACCCTAAACACCCTAAACCCCTAAACCCTAAACCCTAAACCCTAAGCCCTAAGCCCTAAACCCTAAACCCTAAACCCATCTCGGCAAGTGATATGGGTTTTGCTTCCTTTCTTGGCCTGCTCGTCCCAGTCGTCCCAACCACGGTTGCGCTTCTTCCTCGGACTAGTGAGCAGCTGGGGTCAGTCCCTGGCCCCTCAACGCCCTAGCGGGTTAGGGTTTAGGGTTTAGAAGGAATCCAACTATTTAGGGGTCATGTATACTTGAAGCTTATACTTGAAGGTTCATGGGTACTTGTAAGTAGGGTTAGAAGTGCTCGAAATAAGGTGATGATCATGAGTCACCCTACTCATAACCCTCCTTTTCTGTACCCATGAACCTCCAAGTATGTTCCTTTGGACGCTCCGCACCCTTACATACTTGTGAAATTTGCAGCGTTTCGAGCTGCTGAGCGGCTGCACATGTTGTGTTTTACGATAGGGTTGATCTTCCACGAGCTCCAGGTGCTGCAAAACAGCCCGACAACACAAACAAAATGAACCCTAAACCCGAAACTCCTAAGAGGAAGAACTTTACGGCCAGGGTCTAGAACCCTCTTAGTATTCATGATCCTCGGCGTAGGGTTTAGGGATTTATGGGACCCAATACGGGAAAACATGATCCTCGTAAACCCAACAAGAGCAAAGATTATCCTCTTTCAAACCGTAAACCCCCAGAAGAAAAAAACACACACACACACACACACACACACACACTGTCCCAAGGGCCTACCTAAACCACCACCTAAACCCTAAACCCGAAACCCTAAACCCTGAACCCTAAACCCTAAACCCTAAACCCTAAACCCCTAAACCCCTAAACCCTAAACCCTGGAGGTCTGACGGGCGGCCGCTTCTCCGCCTTGGCAGGGTGGCCCCGAAACGTGAGCTTGTGTCGGAATGGTTTTTAGGGGTGGGTTAGGGTCTGGGGTCTGGGGTCTGGGGTCTGGGGTCTGGGGTCTGGGGTTTGGGGTTTGGGGTTTGGGGTTTGGGGTTTGGGGTTTGGGGTTTAGGGTCTAGGGTTTAGGGTTTGGGGTTTAGAGTTTGGGGTTTAGGGTTTTTGGGCTCAGGGTTTAGGGTATTCAGACAGAACCTAAACCCTCAAGCCTAAGTTTTCTGGGCAAAAGGCGGAGACTAGATGGAAAACAAAAGCCTCAAAGACAGAGTGGCATGGCCTGCACTCTACTCTCTTCCCACCTGGGTTCCGATAAGGGTGTGGCGTTTAGGGATTTGGGTACCTTTTACAAGCGCACCCAGCATTCAACTACTTCTGTGACATGCAGATACACATGACCCACGCATGGCCCTCAACTGGCTTAGGTTGTTCCCCGAATAGCAACAGTTACGAGAGCAGGTATTTGTAGATACCGAACCCCTTAATTGCTAGAGGAACATCCCAACCGTCAACCCACAACCCTACCTAAACCGCAAACCCTAAACCCTAAACATCCCTGAACCCTAAACCCTAAACCCTAAACCCCTAAACCCCAATCCCTAAACCCCAACCCTTTTAACACCCCAAAACCCCTCAGTGCTGCACAACCCTCAACCCTCAAGCCTAAAGCCTTTCACTCATCGAGCTAGGCCTGCTCCTCCACAGGAGTGGGCTTCTGGATAGACTTGGGCTGCGCCACCTTCACTGCTTTCTGAACAAAGAAAGCACGAAAACCCTGTTGTTGCCACGCGTCTAGCACGAAACCCTGTGAGGTTCGGGGTTTCTAGGATCTATGTATGAGTTCAACTTCGGCTCCCTGAACCCTAAACCCTGAACCCTTAACCGTAAACCCTAAAGCCTCAACCCTAAATCCTCTCTATCATGTATGTGTATGTATGTATGTATTTATATATTTGTTCAAACATTGTAACGATTTCGATAAATCTGCCCACCGGTGTTTTTGCGATTTCGGTCAATCGGCTCCGGTGTTTTACGATTTCGGTGAATCGGCACCGGTGTTCTTGCGATTTCGGTCAATCGGCAGCGGTGTTTTTGCGATTTCGGTCAATCGGCGCCGGTGTTCTTAAGATTCGGTCAATCGGCACCGGTGTTCTTACGATTCGGTCAGTCGGCACCGGTGTTCTTACGATTTCGGTCAGTCGGGACCGGTGTTTTTACGATTTAGGTCAATGGGCACCGGTGTTTTTACGAATTGGTCAATCGGCACGAGTATTTTTACGGCTCAGGGCCTGGGGTTTAGGGTTTCAGGGCCTCAGGGCCTGGAGGTTAGGGTTTCAGGGGCCTGGGGTTTGGGGTTTCAGGGCTCGGGTCTAGGGTTTCAAGCCTCAAGGCCTGGCGTTTAGCCTCAAGGCCCGAAGCTTGGGGTTTCAGGGTCCAGAGTTTAGGGGTTCAGGGTCTCAGGGCCTGAGTTTAGGGTTTCAGGGCTTCAGGGCCTGGAGTTTGGGGTCTCAAGGCCTCAGGGCCTGGGGTTTAGGGTTTCAGGGTCCAGGGTTTCGGGTTTCAGGGTCTCAGCAAAGGGTTGATGAAGAGCCTTGATTTTCTTAATGCTATGGGATCCTCTGGGTGGGTGTGTATTCTCCCGTTTCACAACCACATTGCTTGACGAATGACTAGTGAAAACTAGTACATGAGATGCTGAACCCTAACCCTAAACCCTAAACCCTAAACCCTAAACCCTAAACCCTAAACCCTAAACCCTAAACCCTAAACCCTAAACCCTAAACCCTAAACCCTAAACCCTAAACCCTAAACCCTAAACCCTAAGCCTAAACCCTAAACCCTAAAGCCTAACAGCTCTGATGTGCCCCCAATGCCCCACCTCGGTGCCAGGACGAGGCTTGCCACAATTGTTGCACTTCATGCCTGGGCTTGCTTTGAGTAGGACAGGATTTAGGGTTTAGGGTTTAGGGCTTAGGGCTTAGTGTTTAGGATTTAGGTTTAATTTAGGGTTTAGGGTTTAGGGTTTAGGGTTTAGGGTTTAGGGTTCAGGGTTTAGGGTTTAGGGTTTAGGGTTAGGGTTGCCAGGCGTTCAGCAAAAAAGGGTCTGGGATTCTGGGGCTCATGGCTTTCACTACTATTCGCTCAAGAACCCCCTCATGGCTTTCACCACTATTCGCTCAAGAACCCTTAAACCCTACACCCTAACACCTAGACCCTAAACCCGAATTAAGCCTAAACCCTAAACCCAAAAAACACACCATATGCTTCCTCAGAAGTATAAGCAAAAAAACTGATTGCTGTCTCGTATGTTTGTTGGGGGCTCTTAAGCACAT